CAAAAAGTGTGGGCGATCTTGGCATTACAACAATAGATGCATATCCTGTTCCATTAAATAATATTTTATTATGTTTTTATGTATAGACAGGACCAAAATATATTGCTAATATCACATGTAATATTTATTTTTTTTACAGATGCAACAACTATCACTGTTTTTAATTCACATTGTTTTACTTTAGGTGGCAGTCAATGTAAAGAGTGAAAAACTTGTATTCTATGGATTTTTAACCTCCTTCGCAGACATATGGGCAGGGCCCTTGTGATTCTGCAACCCAAGAATTTGCCACACAATTTGCTGCAGAACTGTGCTCCAAAATCTATGGCCGTGTCCATACTATGGGGATTATAGCAACATAGCAACAGTGCTGTAGCTATGCTGGCATAACCCCATAGCGTAGACGCCGCCTACAGCAATAGAAGGGATTTTTCTGTCACTGTAGGAACACCACCTATCAAGCGATGGTAGCTAAGTGGATGGAAGGATTTTGGAGCTGCGTCTACACCAGGGGTTAGACCAGCATAGCTACAGCGCTCAGTGGTGTAGATTTTTCATACCCCTGAGCACCATACCTATGTCAAACTAAATTTTAAATGTAGATGAGGCCTAACCTTTCATTTAAACAAAAAATGGTGGTCCTGTCGCACCACTGCATTACTTCAGTTTTAACGTTGGTTTAACTCCACAGATTTCAGTGAAGTAAAGCTGGAGTAACACAGTGGTGAACAGGTCATATGTTTTTAGCCTTCTGGATTGCAAAGAAAGCCTTGAAAATGTGTCTGCACTACATAGCTTATGCTGGCATAGCTAGTGCTAATAGTGCCTCTAGGGTAGACGGAGCCTATATCAACAAAAGGCATTTTTGTGTTGGTGTAGGAACACAACCTTTCCGAACAACATGCTACATCAATAGAAGCACTCTTGTGTCAACACACCTAAGTCTACTCTGGGGTTTTTGCCATGTTGGTCAGGGTTACATTTTTTTCACACACCTAATCCATGTAGCTATGCTGATATAACTTGTAAAGCCTGGTCTACACTAAAACGTTAGGTCAACTCTGCTACATCACTCAGGGTGTGAAAAATCCACACCCCTGAGCAACGTGGTTACATTGACCTAACCCCTGGTGTAGGTAGCTCTAGGTCAACAGAAGAACTCTTCCAAAACCTAGCTAACTGCCTCTCAGGGAGGTGGATTATCTGTGCCAACAGAGGAGAACCCATCTTGTCGACATAGGTAATATCTAAGGTACTGATGTGCTACAGTGGTGCAGCTGCAGCTGTGTCTCTGTAGCATTTCAAGTATAGACAAGCCCTAAGTGTAGACCACATCTGAGGGTACACTTTTGCTATCATATTTTTCTGAATATGCCGACAGCCTGAAACAATAGTTCTAAAAGGTGTGAACTGCCCCACTCATATCAATAGGTTGTGAATAATGTTGACGTTTACAATGTTACCTCGTCTCATACCTGTCCCATACCTGGCTGCCAAAACCCGCCATTTCACCCTGACATCTTCTGTGATGCAGTTGGGCAATATCAATACAAAAATCTGCAGTATATTGAAGACTGAAAGTGTGAGGACAGTGTAAAATAAACTTTTTGTTATCAAAGTAAAGGACAAAGAGATCACTATACTGCTTGTGATATTCATTTTCTTATTTAATTCAGCAAAAAATTATATTTTTTAGTTTATCGGAAACTGCCACAGAATCCAGAGACCTTGCCACAGAATTAAATTCCACCTTGCCATAGAGCACTGAGGGCTGGCATGTGGGACCTGATTCTCCACTGCCTTGTACTATGTATAGTCATTTACAGCTGTGCAAAGTGGGTGTAAAATTCTACTTACTATTCTGATTTAGCACTGGTGTAATGACTTCACACATACAAGACAATGGAGAAAAAGGCCCATCCTATATGTCCATACAGCCTTTCTGGAAACTCATCCAGGTTTTCACTTCAGTGGGGCTGGATATGTGTAACAGAGAGTAGAATTCAACCCATTGTATTTAAGTTCTCTTTCTATTTCAGTGGTGCTAAAACTGGGAGATAGACTCACTCTACTACAGAACCTGGTTACTAAACATGAACTACAATATATTTTTGAAGGAAAGAGAATTGAAAATGATGACTGAAAAGACACAGGGCAGTTATGCAGCAGTGGACATCTAAATTTATTGTACTTCCTCCTGTGACATTTTGATAAATGATATTTACACTCTCTCAACATAAATAAGTAAATAATAATAAGTTAAATATTGTATCTCGGAGCTGAGAGAATGTCATCAAATTATCATTTTTGAAACAGCCAGATATGGATATGACTCTCTGAGATAAAGGCTGCTCTCAGTTACACCCATGTAACACTACTGAAGACTTTAGAGATGTATGTGTGAGACCCTTGTCCCATATACATAGATTAATCCATATGGAGTAGTAAGTTGTTTTTCTGCATGCTGGCAAATGTAATTAAGGGAATTAATAGTTGGTTTGTATGTTTTATTTACATTTTTTTCAAATGCTTTATAGTCTGAAAATGTTTAAATGTCTAAGGCTAGGTCTACACTACGGGGGAGGGGGGGGGGTCGACCTAAGATACACAACTTCAGCTACGTGAATAGCGTAGCTGAAGTTGCGTATTTTAGGTCAACTTACCTGGCTGTGAGGACGGCGGCGAGTCGACCGCTGCCGCGCCTCCGTCGACTCCGCTTCCGCCTCTTGCCACGGTGGATTTCCAGAGTCGACGGCAGAGCCATCGGGGATCGATTTTATCGCGTCTTCACTAGACGCGATAAGTCGATCCCCAATAGATCGATTGCTACCCGCCGATCCGGCAGGTAGTGAAGACGTGCCCTTAGCTACTACTTAATTATAGACCTAGCTAATGCCTTAAAGTTGAGCTTTATTACCACAGATACTGTAGATCTAATTTTATCCTAGTTAATTTAATTGTTGTTAGTGCAGCTAATAACATGTGGCTAGATTCACAAAAGGACTTAGACACCTAAGTGCCACTTTAGGCTCCTAACACCCAGAATCAGGCCCCACAGACATTCACAAAGCCCCTGCTCAGCTGCCCCTATAGGGGCCTAAACTCACTCAACAACTACATTTTTCTGGTAAAAGTTCCGTAGGTGCCTGTGTTTCTGCCTCTGCATGTGAGCATTACAACCTATTGAGATGAGCGGGGCAGTTCTAACCCCATATCAGGCTTATGGATGCCTAAGCTCCAGAGCAGTGCACAAACTGGGGCAAGGAAGACTTTCTTCTGCCTAACTAGCCTGAAGTGTCACCTGACTGGCCCCCTACAGGTGAGCTTACACAAAACAGCAGGGGCACAGGAGGAGGACCTCCCTCATAAACTTTAGCCCAGTGATTAGGATACCCACCTGGGAAGTTGGAGACCCTCAGTTCAAGTTCCCTGTCCACCTGAAGGGGAGAAAGGATTTGAACTGTGTCTGCTGCCCCTAAGGTGAGTGCCCTAATCACTTGGGCTATGAGATATTCTGGTGTGGGGCTGCCTCAGTCTATCTCCTGTTAAAGCTGTTCCACTGTGAATAAATAATGAAAGAATAATTGAGAGAGAGTATGACTATGTAGCCTGATGGTTAGAGCACTCAGCTGAGTGGCCCAGGATCCAGTTCTCCTGCTCCATTTATTTTATGTATTATCCACAGTGGAACAGCTTTAACAGGAGAGACCTAGGGTATGTCTATATTACAAGTGCTATAGCAGCACAGTTGCCACGCTGCAGCTACGCTGCTGTAGTTTAGACACTTGCTACAGCAGCAGAAGAGGTTTTTCTGTCGCTGTAGTAAATGCATCCCCTCGAGAGGTGATAGTTATGTTGATGGAAGAATTCTTCCATTGACCTAGGGGTGTCTACACTGAGGTGTAAGTCAGCTTAACTACATCTCTCAGGAGTGTGAAAATGCCACGTCTTTCTAATTTCTCTGGGGGTGATCGACTCCCCCTTTGCCCCAGGCCCCGCCCCCACTCCACTCCTTCCCCCAAGGCCTCATCCCACCGCTTCCTGCTTCTTCCCACCCCATTCCGCCCCCTCCCCCAAGTGTGTCCCACCTTCACTCCAGCCCCCTCCCCCAGGGCCTCCTGCAGGCTGCTGAACAACTAATCCGTGGCGGGCGGGAGGCAATGGGAGGAAGTGGGAAGAGCTGATCGGCAAGGCCACTGCAGCCACAATTTTTTTCCCATGGGTACTCCAGCCCCAGAGCACCCATGGAGTCAGCGCCTATGGTGAAATAGCTAGGTTGACCTATGTTTTAGGTGTAAGCCAGGCCTGATGGAGCCCCATGTTAAAATATTCCATAGCCAAGTAGTTAGAGGACTCACCTGAAAGGTAGTAGATCCCAGTTCAAATCCCTTTTCTCCATCATGTGGAAGAGGGACTTGAACTGTGGGGGTCTCCTACATCCCACGTGAGTGCCCTAACCACTGGGCTGAAAGTTATGTGGAGTTCCTCCTCTCCCTATCCACCCCTCCCCCCACAAAGAGAGAAATTTCCAAGCAGAGGGCAATGTCTTCCTGAAGCTGACACTTATCTACCTGTCTCCAAGAGAGGGATGAGTCTTTGGATACACTCCTTGGCTTGGCACCTCCCATTGGCTAGATTAGGTGAGGACCTGCCTATTATGCTGGCTTTTGTAAATCCCATTGAAAGGCGCCTATCTCTCCCCACTCATTGTATACAGAGTCAAGGTGCCGAACTCAGGCTTTGTGAATCCTGGTAATTTTTCTAGGTAGCTGAAAGTTAGGCGTGGCAACACTCAGGGTCACCACTCCTAAATTCCTTTGTGAATCTAGTCCATTCTATGTATATTCCTCCAAGTAGAAAAAACCTTTGGGGTATTAGAATTCAGAATCCACGTGCAGGGATGAAGATTGGAGGAGAAGGAGATGGGATCAAAATTCTCTTGTCAGGTTGTTTTCTCTGTACCATACTGTATATATAAACAATTGATAATTTTCTTCTAGGAGTATCAACCTTGTAACACCAATCCCTGTCCAGAGCTGAAAAAGACCACCCCCTGGACTCCCTGGACTCCGGTCAATATCTCAGACAATGGTGGCCACTATGAACAACGATTCCGATACACTTGCAAGGCACGCTTGCCTGACCCAAATTTGCTAGAGGTTGGAAGACAAAGGATTGAAATGCGTTACTGTTCCAGTGATGGTACCAGCGGATGCTCAACAGATGGTAAGCAGAGATAGTGCAAGTGAATAATAGCACCTAGCAGACAATGGTATAACACAATCAAGTGGCTGGAAGTTGAAGCTAAACAAATTCAAAGTGGAATTCAGGTGTGTGTTTTTAACAGTGAGATTAATCAGGAATTGGAACAGTGTTGTGGTGAATTCTCCATCATTGGTAATTTTTCAATCAAGATTACATAGGATTTTTTATAGATATGCTTTACTTCAAATAGGAATTAATTCAGAGTAATCCTATGGCTTGTGTTTTATAGGAGATCACACAAGATGATCACACTGGTCACTTCTGGTCTTGGAATCTATGAACGTGCTAGAGAGATGGCTGTAGTTCCATTTTCATGACAGAGTGAAGCTTTTTATCTTGCTGGTGTTTTTCATAACGTTACAGAGTTTACAGCCAGAAGGGACCACCGGATCATCTAGTCTGACCTCCTGTATATCAGAGGTCACCATCTCTGCACTACCCAGTATCTATACCCTAAACCCAACAACTGAAATTACACCAAAGTATTACAGCCCACTGAAGACTAGACTATTATATGCCACAGGCAGAGAATAGGAGAGACCAAGGTGCCCCAGTGCCTGGAGCCCCACAAAAGCAGGGATATGATTAAGTGAGATATACCCAGATATTCATGGCAAGTGATCCACACCCACATGCTGCTGAAGAAGTTCAATGCACCCTCCTCCCCTTCCCCCTCTCCCTCCCCCAACGTCACTGCAGATCTTACCTGGGGGGAAATTCCTTGCTAACCCCACATAGGACAATAAGATAGACCCTGATCACTTGGGCAAAAATCAGACAGCCAAACACTTGTGAGAGAGAATGCTCAGTGTCACCTCAGAGTTCCAGCCCACCCCGCCCAATGTCCCATCTCCAGCTGTGACCATACTCATGCTTCAGAGGAAGGAGCCTTAAAAAAAAATGCTCAGAATACATTTTGCGGGTCATCCCTTCCTGGCTCCTGCAAGTAGTCGGACAAAGCCCTGAAGCATGAGGTTTTAGGAACATAGGACATAAACCAGAAGTGGGCTCCATGGCTGTTGGCCCTTCAACCTACCATCACAAACAACACCATCATACAATCTCACTCATAAATTTGTCCAGCTCATTTCAGAAACGTTAATGAAAAGAAGGCAATTGATCACAACAGGTAAATTAGTTTCTATTTCTTCAGGACTGGGCTTAATATCTCAGGATAACCCAGTATTTTTTACCTCTGGCTGTAGAACTTGCTGTCAGATGTTCTTTCTAATAATTAACTCATCAGAGAGATAGCCATGAAATTGTAGAATAATTTTTGAGATTGCTCTATCATCTCTTTCCTTCTGCTGTCCTTTTTTGGGAGAGATTCTGACAAATTCTGCTTTTATTTTATAAATATTTGGTTAGACTATAACAGTGATGATGAATAGAGCTTTTTACTGAATAATTAAAGAGCAATAGCTGGCTGCATGCTTATGGCAATTAACTAAATAGATAATTTATGAAGTAGATAACTTCTATTATTAATGTTTTATAGTATTGAGCTATCACCAGGATTTAAAGTTCTGTTTCCTACTACAAAGGAAAAATGACCTCCTCCAATGTTATTTCAGCTATAGATGCATTTTACATACAGAATTAATTCATACTAAATTATTTTTCTGCTTACCAGTAGCGCTTAGTTATGAATAAACAATATACAAAAATATATTTATTGTTCACTGATGTACAGGTGAAGTCAATCCTAATTTTAAATGATTAGTTATGAGATTCTTAATTTCATTATTATTTATTAGTACTTATAAGAATACTTTCCACATACATAGCCTTTTACATCTTCAAAATGTTATAACAATTTGATTATTACAACACCCTTGTAAGATAAATAAGCATTAATAATTACAGTAGGTAAAAAAGTATTATCTGCATTGAATAGTTTATTGCAGTGTTGTTATAACTGTTGGTCACAGGATATGAGACAGACAGTGTAGGTGAGGTAATATCTTTTTTTGAATCAACTTCTGTTGGTGGAAGGTTCGAGCTCCTCAGAGCTCATTACAACAATTTGTAACACATTTTACTGTCCTCTAACCCTTAATTGCCCACTTCATTTTAAATGATCTTCTACAGCATGCATAAACCCCTTATGCTTAACAATCTGTCCCACCTTTTATTTAGATTAGACACTCTGTGTATCTTCTCCAGACCCGATGAAGAGCTCTCTGAAGCTCAAAAGCTTGTCCCTTCCACCAACAGAAGCTGGTCCAATAAAAGATATTACCTCACCTACCTTGTCTCTTTTGAACAGTTTAGGCATCGTGAAGTTTGATCACTCATGCAAGGTCACAAAAGAGTAAGTGTCTGTGCTGAGATGAGTACTTGGGTCTGGAGTTTCTAGTTCCCAATCCTTTGCTCAGACAGCTAAACCAATGGTAGATCTTTGAAACCTTTGGGGAAGCCTAACTAAGAACACCTGGCTTCCTTGATAACTGAGATCATCTTTGCCTCCTTGAAAGAAGGCAAGATGTCAGATTACCAAAAAAAACCCCTATAGACTATAGAAGTCCAATTGACCCTGAATAATGTCCTTAATGCCACCATTAGTTATCACCTGATCTCCAGCTCTCTCTTGCATCCAAGCTCTCGCAGAATCTGTCCTCTGCCAGCATGCAGTTTTCATCACAGGTTTCAGACCAGCATACAGCAGAGAAATGGCTCTGCTGGTGCTGATGCAGCCATCACCTTTTCCGGGCCCTAGACAAATATACAAGTCTTTGTGCTGAAACTGCTAGATAACTCTGCAGCCTTCAACAATGTTGATCATCCATTGCTGATGCCACATGTGAGATCTCATGAGATTAAATCGAATAGTACTATGTTGGATCTGCTTATTCATACCAGACATAACACAGATAGCATAACTTAGTCCTTATCATCCAAGTCCTCTCTGTTCTTCTTCATTGTCTGCATGAGACCATCCTGACAGACTGTGATACACCTGAGACTAAGGGGACTGATATGAGGAGGGCACTTAGCTGTACATCTCCTTTTAAAGCCATCCCCAGTATTTCCCAACACTTGGAAGAAATCAACAGGTGAATGAAAAGCGTTTGTTTCAAGCACAGTCCAGGGAAGATGGAAGTGTTAGTTAAGATGGGGAGGAGCACTTTGAGAATTTACCAATGTGCTTGGACCTATGAAGAGCATCAAACAACTGTCAGAGTGGTGAGGAACCTTGAGGTTTCGCTAGTCCCCGCACAACATCTGGACTAATGGCAAGAAACACCATATTTCACCTTCACCTAACCAGGAGATGTTGATGGGACCCTAGCCACTGTGATCCATGCTTTTCATCACCTCCAGATTGAACTATGGCAACTCACTCTACCTGAGTGTGGACATAACCACTACAAAAAGATAGATGCTGGTACAGCATGCCGGGCACACCTCGTTCTTCTTCGAGTGATTGCTCCTGTGTATTCCACAGTAGGTGTGCGTGCTCGCTACGTGCACCAGTGCCGGAAGTTTTTCCCTTAGCAGTACCCGTACTGGGGGAGCACCGCAGCGACCCCTGGAGTAGCGCCTGTATATTGCGCTATAAGGGGAGCCATAGGCTCCCCCCGCCCTCAGTTCCTTCTTGCCGCCAGTGAAGGTAGTCGGAACTTTTGTGCTCCAGCTCTGCTGCAGCCCTTCTTCACCTTAGTGGTACCGTTGTAGATTGTTCTTCAGTTGTTAGAGCGGGCTCGGGACATGCCCCGTGCCCCAGTCTTCAAGTCGTGCAACTCCTGTCTCTGTTCTATGCCCAGGAGCGACCCTCACGCTGAGTGTCTTCACTGCCTGGGTGAGACTCACATCAGCGACCGTTGCAAGATCTGCAGGTCATTCAAGCCAAGAACCAAGAAGGAGAGAGACTTCAGACTTCAAGCTCTCCTGATAGAGTCGGCGCTGACTCCGATGCCAGTGCACAGATCGGACTCGGCGCCGGACGCCACATCGTCACTACGTAGCGAGGCCCCTTTGACCAGTTGGCGCCGCTCTCCCTCCAAAAAGCAAGGGAAGTGCTCGGCCTCACAACGACGCCGCGATAAGGACAAGGGGGAAGCTGGTCCCGCGCTGGGCAGCCCTGGATCCCCCCCGGGCTCAAAGGCTCCGACTCATGTGGAGTGGAGCAGCCTGGTACCGTCGACCCAGGCATCCCCACCGGTACGGATGCCGTCGACGCCGGAGGCGGTGCAGGCTGTGAAGGACATAATGTCTCTGCCCGTCCCGAGCTCGCAAACGGGTACGGGTCTTAGGTCGCGAGGCAAACCCTCTTTGGGTGCCCACAAGACCTCTCCGAGCAGCCGCAGTTCCCACTCCGAAGAGCACTCCCTGCACCGCTGGGCGCGCAGCGGCCGCTCTTTTGACAGCTCCCGGCCACCCTCGACACCGGCCAGACCGTCCGGGCTGGACCCTCTACGCCACCTGCCAGCGAGCGGAGGCACCGGGAACGCTCACCTGCTAGACATCGGTACACGCCATTCCACCGGGGCACGTATTGCCATCCCGCGCTCAACTGAACCAATGGCAAGGTACCCCGTGGCAAGGACAGTGGTACCAGTGGGCACCGTGGCCGTCGATGCCAGCCCAAGCGGAGGCCCGTTCAGTCGCCAGAGCATCCCGGGCTGCATTGGCCTCCTCTGGCCACCCACAGGACAAGTCAGCGGGTCATGAGTCGGCGGACCTGCGCCAGGACTCTGACCTCGGTCTCGATGCCCCGGCAGCGACCGAGGTGCCCGGCTCTGTACGGGCCCTCTCTCCGGTACTGGACGACACCATAGCGGTGCCTCCGCCATCGGTCCCGCAGGAGGACTTCAAGGCTCACCAGGACCTGCTAAAGCGGGTGGCTTCCAACCTCCAGCTGCAGGCCGAGGAGATGGAGGATCCGTCTGATGCCCTCTTTAACGTCCTGTCTCTCTTGACGCCGGGCCGCGTGGCCCTGCCTCTGCACCAGGGTATTG